TTGTGGTGTCATTGATGTCTAGCTCATGGGCCAAGAATCAATTGATTATTATTCTTCAGCTGTCTGGCTGCTGAAACTCACACTTCCTGTATGTATTGTTGGGTACAGAACAAAGACATTAAACTCATTGAATGTGGTGGAATCGTGCACAGATCAATGTCATCTTCACACAAAGTTGGTGAAAGACAGGTGTGTACTACACTCCACCTGGCACTAATGGCAAGATAACCTTTATGTGGCACAGGTAGGTGAAGAGCATTGACTTAAAGCTTCTGATCAGCATTCTCACATCTGTTTAGTTTTCCCCATTGCCCATGCTTTCAGAAGGATCACCCATTTGTCGTCTATTCCATAAATTCACCAATGTTGTAATGGTGTATATTTTCAGATTCAGTGATTACTTTTTACAACTGAGAAATTTCTCATAAGGAAGCTTTGTACAGAGCATATCTTTACATACTTTGACTTCATTTTTATCCTGTCAAGTTTCAAATAGTACCTACATTCTGATCAGTGTTTCTGGTTGGAAAACAGTATCCAGTTCAACAAAATCCTCTCTAAACATTGAAACACTGCTACACCTGTAGCAATGATCTGCTTGCACTTGCTTTGCAGATGGGCATAATGAAAACGATGACCCCTGAAAACTAAGACTGAAGACCTAAGACTCAAAACAACGAACTAAAAGCAAAGACCCAAAAACGAAGACCCAAAGATGAAGGCCTGAAAACAACTACCTTTTTATTTTCTTCATTTATTGTGATCTTGTTATGGTTTCTCTCCAGAAATATCCAGTTCTGGTTTTAATCTTTCTAACAGTGATAAAGTATGCAATCAAACACTGGTTTTTGATAAAAAGACCTTGAAAATAAAGACCTAAACACCAAGACCAGAAAAACAAAGACCTGAAAAAGAACACCTGAAAAGGAACACCTGAAAACAAAGATCCCCTTATTTTCTTCTATTGAAAGTGATCAAATGTATCCATCATGTGCTCCCCCCTCCAACGAACTAAGTGTATCTAAGAACCATGTAATTTGGAATTCCTTAAGAAAAATATTGTCTCCAAATCTTCCTCAGTGGATGTGCTTTTTTCACATGGAGCTTATTGCATTCAAACTGCGGAATCTCCCACACTGCAGAAGCCTCCACCTGTTTTCTGACTCTTTTCTGTAATTCAAAATTGTCAGAAGAGCTTTCCTAAGCTTTTTCAGCAAATGTGCTTTTTCAATTGAAGCTTATTGCATTCAAAGAGTTCAAACTGTTGAATGTCAAGCCAAAACCAAATAAAGACAAAAGAAGGAAAGTTGCCTTCCCGCAGTACTGAACTAGCCTTCATGCAACACTGAAAATATTAAATAATGGCATTTATCCTGCCATTCAGTCTTGTATGAAGAGCAGCTGGACTAGCTCTGAATGATGAGCAGCAACGTAAGACCTACTTGTGTCAGCTGGGCTGAAAGTTCATATAGGCGAGCTCAGATCTTTTTTTAGAAATTTTATAGGGAAGTCAGGAGGCGGCAGTTAGGAATTTTGAAGGGCACCAATGTATTTGAAAAATAAATTAGTAAAGCAACAAATAAGAAAAGTTAACTAAGGTTTAATGTTAAATGTAATCACTGGCAATTTTGCTTTTTTTAAACTGATGAGTGATCACATTGCAATCAGAGAAGTTGTCAAACTTTTACCTGTTTTTCATCAGTGAAGCTATAAAGTGTGACTTCCTGTATCAAGATCATTAAGGGGTCTTTGTTTTTAGGTCTTAGGTCATTGTTTTTTTGAGATCTATGTTTTTGCTGCAACCATAGAAATGTCCCTTTTTCATCAGAAAACCAAATTTCCCATCATAATCTATGTGTGTGTCATTTGCATTTGCATCAATTCTTGATGATAGCATCTCTAACACCTTTCAGGTTTTTCATTGTACTCCACCATTACACCTCAGGATGTTTCCTGAAGGTAAGTGCAGATACTATACTATCTTCATTATCAGAATGAATTTCGAAAAAATTCAGTCATACAAAAGGATCAGCATCAATTTTGTATCTTCATATGAAGAAGTCTTGTTCTATCATTCAGATTTGGGATCAGTTTTTCTATTTCATTAATAATCAATCAGGAGCAAGTGGATAATTGTTCTGCAATTCATGAAGGTCTTTAGGGTACTCAAGATCCACATCAAGGATGCAAGGGACATCTCATCAATTGTCAAAGATAGACATCCACTTTAAACTTCTAGTTGGAAGAAGCTGGCTCATCACTTATCCATAGAGATTGTTTACATCAAGATAAGTGATGTATTTTGTTGGATTGCTTGAATTGTAGTAATCACCAATATATGTATAATTTTCCCCTCAAAGTAATTTAAGATCATTGAAACACCTTCCAAAATTCCTTTTTCAATTGTCAACATGTCAGAATCAGTGAGTAATTCAAGCTTTATACAAGTCTTATTAAGGCAGCATCCCATGCCTATCCAATCAACATAAAGAATACAAGGCCATATTAGTGGTACACACTTATAAATATTCTGAAAAGCTCTTGAGACATCTCCCAATTCAAATTGCATAAATGCCATTTGAATGGAAGAGCTGAAGTATGCATACTCTATGAGGATGATGTATATGTACTAGCTGTCTCAAATTTGACCCAATGGTTGTGTACATTACTTCAATGCTATAATGTTTAGAAGCATATGCCAAAATAACAACGGTCTCTGCACAGCCTTCCATATCCAGCATAAAGAGCTCCACTATTACAAACCCAAAGACTCTGTTGTTTATTGGGAAAAGTCTGTTGCATTTTAAAAGTGAAGTTGTTTGTAATGGTAAAGTGATGTATAAGTACTAGCTATCTCACACTTCACCCAATGGCTGTGTACATTACTTCAATGCTGAGTTGTTTAGAAGCATATGCCAGTATAACAACGGTCTCTGCACAGCCTTCCATATCCAGCATGAAAGAGCTCCACTATTACAAACCCAAAGCCTCTGGTGTTTACTGGGAAAAGTCTGTTGCATTTTAAAAGTGTAGTTGTTTGTAATGGTAAAGTGATGTATAAGTACTAGCTATCTCACACTTCACCCAATGGCTATGTACATTATTTCGACACTGAATTGTTTTAGTAGCATATGCCAAAATAACAACAGTCTCTGCACAGCCATCCATATCCGGCATAAAGAGCTCCACTACTACATACCCAAAGACTCTGGTGTTTATTGGGAAAAGTCTGTTCCATTTTCAAAGTGTAGTTGTTTGTAATGTTAAAGTGATGTATTAGTACTAAGCTGTCTCAAATTCCACTCAATGGATATGTATATTATTTCAACACTGAATTGTTTCAGAAGCATATGCCAAAATAACAACCTTCTCTGCACAGCCATCCATATCCAACATAAAGAGCTCCACTATGCTACATACCCAAAGACTCTTGTATTTACCGGGAAAAGTCTGTTGTATTTTAAAAGTGTAGTTGTTTGTAATGGTAAAGTGATGTATAAGTACTAGCTGTCTCGCATTTCACTCACTGGTTAAGTACGTTATTTCAACACTGATTTGTTTTAGAAGTGTATGCCAAAATAACAACTGTCTCTGCACAGCCATCCATATCCAGCATAAAGAGCTCCACTTTACTACATACCCAAAGACTCCTGTTTATTGGGAAAAGTCTGTTCCATTTTCAAAGTACAGTTGTTTGTAATGGTAAAGTGATGGATAAGTACTTCCTGTATCAAATTTCACTCAGCGGTGATTTACATTTCTTCAGCACTGAATTGCTGTAGAAGCATATGCCAAACTAACAACAGTCTCTGCATAGCCATCCACATCTGACATAAAGAGTTCCACCACTTTATACCTGACGACTGTTGTGTTTATTGGGAAAGGTCTGTTGCATTTTAAAAGTATAGTTGATTGTAATGTTGAAGTATTCATCAGCATCACTTTTAGCAGATGTAGATGATCCTCTAAGTGCTCCAAACTTCATAGATAGCTCTGTAAATATTTCTGTATAAGGGATTCCCTTAAAAGAGTTTATTTGTAAAGATTGTTTTCCTTCAGTGTCTATTAAAAAAGGTTTTATCCCAAAATTTGACTTACCATGCAAATGCAGGATGCAGCTTATCTGGTAGTGCAGCCTATATGCTGGTGTTTATGATACTCTTTGTCAGCCTTTTAAGCTGCAAAATGTAAGTCTGAGTTATTTATAGAGAAACCATTGTTATGAATAGCCTTTTTAAGAGCACAGCATTTCAGGCAGGGCCCACATTTTGGAGTCAAAAAAGCCAGCACCAGGAAAACAAAAACTCTGAATGTATTAGTGAGGCTAACACGTGAGTGCTGAACAAGTATGAGTACTGCCTCTGCCCTTCAAAGGGTGAATACCTTAGCAGTAGAAGATTTTGCTTGATTTGTCTTTATTCATGTACATATGATTAACAGTGATGAGAAAGCCAACCAGGTTCCAGTTTTTTTTTTGCAAGACAAACAAGCATTTAATTATCATTATTATTTAGATATACAGTAGAACCTTTAAATCCATGTGTGTTATCTTTTTTCAAGATGTTCAACCTTGTATGTGATGTTGTTGCCTGATGTTTTAAATACAAGACATTTTACCTGGGTATGAGTTGTATAAATGAATGCAATTTGAATTGGGAGAGCTAAAGTATGTATACTATAAGAGGATGACGTATAATAAGTACTTGCTGTATCAAATATCACTCAATGGTGATGTACATATCTTCAGCAGCGAATTATTTTAGAAGCATGTACAAAAGTAACAACAGTCTTTGCATAGTTATTTACATACCACATAAAGAGCTAGACTACTACATACCCAAAGACTCTTGTGTTCATTGGGAAAAGTCAGTTGCATTTCAAAAGAGTAGTTGCATGGTATCAACCATCTTGTCTTTGATTGTGTGGACAGGTTTCTTTTCAATCAACCTGGTTGCTGGACTATTCAAAGGTGAAACAATTAACTTCTGGAACCCTCTTCACTAATAGGTTGATCTCTTTCCAGATGTGAAATTCATATCTGGACTGTATTGGAAAGTGAAGAGACACTCACCTAAAGTTTGATTGAGTTGCTCAGTGATTCCCTGATACCTATGAATGTTCACATTTCCTCTTTTTATCCTTACACCATGCTTTGCTGTCTCTCTTGCAACTTCACCCATGAATTCATGCTGAGGATCAACTTGAAGAACGTAAGGCCACCTTAGTAATAGACACTCATAAATTGTCTGAAAAGCTCTTGGGATCTCAGTAGAATCCTTTGAGGTGAGAGGTGGAGTAGGCTTGAATCTGCTTGCAACATCTTTAACTGTCAATGCATATTTAAAGACTTTCCTCTGTCTCAGGAGCCTTTCATGAGAAGAGCAAAAACAATAAGCTTGATTAACTAAATTTGGGGATGGCACATCAAGAATTGGTCATGGCATATGTTTAGGGGCAGGCAAATTAATCTGCAAGATGGTTTGCTTCATCAGCCAAAGCTTTGCAATGTCATCAGGCTTTCCAGCTTCTTTAGCCAACTTCATAAACGATGGCAATCCATTGAAAATAATTCAGGGCTATAGTTGACTTTTAAAAGTTTTTTTTCCATTCAGTTAAAGTTCACATGCAATAACTACCAGCCAATCTCAAAGTCAAGGCAACAGTGAAAATTTAGATCATTTCACCTTGCTTCAGCACCTTGCTTTTGCACCAAAACGTGGGGGCTCTGCTCCCCAAATACTTATTAAGGGATGTATTTGGGGAGAGGGGGAGGGACTACAGCCCTCCCTGCCCCTTTCTACTCAGCCACCTTTGTGATTTTTAAGAAATTTTTGTTCTTATTAATATGCAGTAAAATAATTTAACCTGAACTACGTGTGTTACTGCATGCATTAATGCAGTTTAAATTGGGAAAGCTAAGGTATGCATACTTTATGAGGATGATGTATAAGTGCCTGATGTATGAAATTTCACCAAATGGTAATGTACATTTCTTCAGCACTGAACTGTTTTAGAAGCATATGCCAAACTAACAACAGTCTCTGCTCAGCAATCTACATCCAACATAGAGAGCTTCAGCACTGCATATGTGAAGACTCTTGTGTTTTTGGGAAAAGTCTGTTGCATTTTAAAAGTGTGGTTATTCATAATTTTAAAGTGTGGATCAGCATCACTTTTACCAGATATAGATGGTCCTCTGAGTGTTCTAAAGTCTATAGATAGCTCTGTAAATGTTTCTTTACAAAGGATTACCCTGAAAGAGGTTGCTTGTAAAGGTTTTTTCCTTTGGTGTCTTTTTAAAAACCGTTTTAGCCCAAAATTTGACTTGCCAAATGCGGGATGCAGGTTATCTGTTAGTGCAGCTTGTATGCTGGTGTTTATAATACTCTTTCTCAGCCTTTTAAATGGCAAAATGTTAGTCTGCTATATTTATAGAGAAACCACTGTTATGTATAGCCTCGAGACCTCAGTAGCATCCTTACATCTGTATAGCCATCTACATTTGACATAAAGAGCTCCACCATTTTATACCTGAAGACTTGTGTTTTTCGGAAAAAAATCTGTTGCAATTTAAAATCATCAAATTTCACTTAAAGGTGATGTTCATTTCTTCAGCACTGAATGTTTTCAAAAGCAAATGCCAAACTAACAACAGTCTCTGCATAGCCATGTATCTACATCCAACATAAAGAGCTTCACTACCCAAAGACCCTTTTGTTTATAGGAAAAAGTCTGTTGCATTTTAAAGTGTATATGTTTCTAATGTAAAGTGTTCATCACCATCACTTTTAGCAGATATGAATGGTCCTCTAAGTTCTCCAAACTCCATAGATAGCTCTGTAAATGTTTCTGTATAAGCGATTCACTTGAGAGAGTTTGCTTGTAAAGGTTTTTTTACCTTTGGTGTCTTTTAGAAGAGGTTTTATCTCAAAATTTGACTTGCCAAATGTGGGATGTGGCTTATCTGGTAGTGCGGCTTGTATGGTGGTGTTTTTGATATTCTTTTTCAGCTTTTTAAAGTGTAAAATGTCACTCTGAGGTACTTATAGAGAAACCACTGATATACATAGCCTTTCTTAGAGCTTTTGAGACAGGGCCCACATTTTGGAGTTAAGAAGGCCAGCACTAGGAAGACAAAAACTCTAAATGTAGTAGTTAGGCTAATGAGTAAGTGCTGAAACAATCATGTGTACTGTCGTTCTCTTCAAAGGGTGAAAACCTTAGCAGTACAAGATTTTGCTTCATCTGTCTCTATCCATGTACATATATTAACAATGATGGGAAAGCCAATCAGGTTCCAGTTTTTGTTTTGCAAGAGGAACAAGCATTTATCATAAATTTTTAGATATGGAACCTTTAAATCAAAGTGTGATATCTTTTCTTAAGATGTTCAAACCTGTATGTGATGTTGTGGCCTGATGTTTTAAATACGACATTTTACCAGGGTATGAGTTTTAAAAATTAACGCAATTTGAATTGGGAGAGCTTAAGTATGTATATACTCCAAGAGGATGATGTATTATAAGTACTTGCTGTATCAAATTTCAATCAATGGTGATGTACATATCTTTACCAGTGAATTATTTTAGAAGCATGTGCAAAAGCAACAACAGTCTCTGCATAGTTATATACATACCACATAAACAACTGGACTACTACATACCCAAAGACTCTTGTGTTTATCAGGAAAAGTGTGTTGCATTTCAAAAGTGTAGTTGGCATCAACCACCTTCTCTTTCATTGTGTCGAGTTTTTTTTAGTCAACCTGGTCACTTGACTATTCAAAGATGAGACAAGTTCTGGAAGCCTTTCACCCATTCAGCTGATTTCCTTGCAGATGAAAATTCATCCCTATACCGAATTGGAAAGTAAGGAGATGGTCATCTAAAGTTCAATTGAATTGCTCAATGATTTCTTGATCCCTATGAATGTTCACATTTCTTCTTTTCATTGTTACACCATGCTTTGCCATCTCTCTTGTGACTTCAACCACTAATTCATGCCCAGGATCAACGTGAAGAACATTAGGCCATCATTGTGGCACACACTCATAAATAATCAGTTAACCTTGTTGCTTGACTATTCAAAGGGTAAACAACTTCTAGAAGCCTCTTCACCCATTGGGTTGATCTCTTTCCAGATGTGAAATTTATCTCTGGACTGTAAGGGAAGGTGAAAAGACATTCACCTAAAAATCAATTGAATTGCTTAATGATTCTCTGATCCCTATGAATGTTCATATTTCGTCTTCTTATCCTTACACCATGCTTTGCTATCTCTGTTGTGGCTTGCACTATGAATTCATGACCCAGGATCAACTTGAAGAACATTAGGCCATCTGTGTGGTACACACTTGTAAATTGTCTGAAAATCTCTTGAGACCTTAGTATGGCTGCAGCCCTCCCTGCCCCTTTCTACTCAGCCACCCATGTGATCTTTGAGAAATTTTGGTGTGGAATAGTATGCAGTAAATAATTTAACCTAACTACATGCATTACTGCATGCCTTAATGCATTTTGAATTGGAGGAGCTAAAGTACGCATACTCTATGAGGATGATGTTTAAGTACTTGCTGTATTAAACTTCACTCGATGGTGATGTAAATTTCTTTAGCACTGAATTGTTTTAGAAGCATATGCCAAACTAACAATGGTCTCTGCATAGCCATCTACATCCGACATAAAGAGCTTCACTACTACATACCCAAAGAGTATTGTCTTTATCAGAATAAGTCTGTTATATTTTAAAAGTGTAGTGGTTTGTAATGTTAAAGTGTGGATCAGCATCACTTTTAGCAGATATAGATGGTCCTCTTATTTAGATATAGAACCTTGAAATCTAGGTGTATTATCTTTTGTCAAGATGTTCAACCTTGTATGTGATGTTGTTGCCTGATGTTTTAAAGACATTTACTTGCGTATGATTTGTAAAAATTAATGTAATTTGAATTGGGAGAGCTTAAGTGTGGATACTCCAAGAGGATGATGTATTATAAGTACTTGCTGTATTAAATATCACCCAATGGTGATGTATATATCTTCAGCAGTGAATGTTTTTAGAAGCCTGTGCAAAAGTAAGAACAGTCTCTGCATAGTTCTCTGCATCTCCACTTGACTTATCTTTAAGCTTATTTATAACATCACTGCTTTTATCGTTGTAAGTCTCCAGTTTCAATTTCATACCTAAAGCTTCTAGTGTCTATGAAGAGAAGCCTTGCATGGCCACTATACTTCTTCTTTATGTAGTTAGAGTGAAAATCATAGATGAGTCTTGCTGCTGATGTTGAGGATGCTCATTCAACAAGCTTAAGGATAATCAAGAGCAACCTCGTGGATGGAAGGGACACTGCACCAATTGTCAAAGTTAGTCATCCAGTTTAAACCTCAAAGAGAAAGAGGCTGGTACACCCCACAACCTTACAGGTTGTTTGCATTAAGATAAGTGAATATATCTTTGGACTGTTGTAATCATCCATATATAAATTATTTGCCCTTCCAAAGCGCTTTGAGATCATTGAAACACCTTCCCAAATTTCTTTTTCAGTGATCTACAACATGTCAGCATGAGTGTGTAATTCAAGCGGTACATTAGTCTCCTACAAGATAGTTTCATCAACATCTTTCTATTCCTGTTGTTTTTCCCAACATTATGTGTTTAAATTGGTTCCCATTGATTTACCATGCGCACTTTGACCTGGTCACGTTTCATGAAGGCGGGCAAGTGTCTGGTATGCTGATCAAAGTAGTATTTTTACTTTTGTTGCTTTAGCTTCAATTTCTCCCTTATTTTGTGTGGATCCAGGACATTGGGCTGCAGCTGAGCCTCAGTTGTTGGGACAATTGATCTGACTTGTCTTCTCATGACTAGTTGTGCTGGTGAGCCACATCATCAATGGGTGTGTTTCTGTACTCCAGTAATCCGAGATATCTAGCTTTGCTTTGATTAGCAGATTCTTTACAGTTTGAACTGACTTCTCCATGAGCTTTTTTGCTAGAGGGTAGAGTGGACTTGTGGTAATGTGTTTGAATTCCCATTGTTTTGCAACGAACAGAGGCTTCTTTAAGATCATCAGCATTCAAATTCTTGGTCTGTCACTCTGGTGGTGGAAGGAACCTCTTTCCTTTACACTTCAGGTGGAACTTTTGCCTCATCCACTAGGCAAAGAATCATATCAGCTTTCTCCAAGAAGAGTACATTTCCTATTTTACCATCGTCATTAAGGGGTGAACGACGTTGTTAAGACTGCGGCTCTGACCTCTCTGTGTGTCATCTAAGTTCCTCCACAAGAATTGCGAAGAGTCTCTATCTTCCTCACAAACATAGACCTGGTGAAACATTTGTTCAATGTGCACCATGAAACCAATATTTCCACTCTGAAATCTCATCAGGATTCGAGCCAGACTGTATTAAAAAGTCGGGACCAGTCAGAGGCTTGTCATTCAGTGAAACACTTTCAAACTTTGCTGTAGCATCAAAAACTATGTGGACTTTTCTGGGCTTATTAGGGTTCAACACTGCATGGTGAGGTAGATACCACGTTGAGAGGGACGTTGCTTCAGCCTCTTCTAATGTCATCTGTCTTACATGTCCTTTGCTGACAATCATTTATTGCTTTTGAGTATTCCTCCTTTACTGACATAATTGTTTGTGACTTCCTGCCTGTTTTGGGTTCTTGTTAAGTTTTTCTCAGTTGATAGCAGTCTTGAAACAACCATGATCCGGTTGTTTGGTTGGATCAGGTCTCATTTCCATAGCAATGTTGTTTTATAGTGTCCTTGTTGACTAAAGTATCAACACGTTTTCTCATAAACTAGTATCGATCTCTGATTGTTTTTTCACAGGCACATGGGATCTTCTGATCCCATAATATGTATTCTGGGCTGGGTCCACTCTCGTCCTACACGCTACACACTCCCCTCCAGATGGAAATGTTGTCCTGACATTACAACATTAAAGACCAAAGAGTAAACAAAAACTGCTTGGGGGAGTGTCGGTCCTCATGTTTGAGACTCAATACTTGTTTCATAAACTAGCTAGTTAATACATATGCCATATTGGTACAATCCACCTGGCCATGGTGGTCATGCGGGTACATAGATGGGGTGTCTTCATCCTCTGGACAGGATATTTCATGGGTAACTGCAGAATATGATGTTTCCATCTCATACTCATCGTGGGAACTCTCCAGGGTTTTGAGGCTGGGGTAGTGCTCTAGATAACAATTGGGTGGTGTTTGACATGACTGTCATTTGTCTTGGCAATGGTAAAGCATCACAAGGAAGAAGCAAGTTCCGGTGTAATATTCTCTGTTTCTCATGGCCGTGTTTGGGCTTTACTTGATAGACTGAGCTGATAGATGTGCATTCCTCAATTACATGTATTTGCTCTTCCCAGTGTAAACGAAGCTTTCCAGGGGCTCCCCTTTCTGAGAGGTTTCAGTGGAAGCCTTCCTGTCATAATATCCTTTACTCCTGGCTGACAATTGCTGGATACTCCTGGATAATACATCATATGCCTGTCTTATATCTGCTTGCCATGTCTTTACATAATTCTGGTAATTACCTTGTTGAAGGTTGCTGCCAAGGTTGAACAACAAGTTGACTGGTAATCACAGAGTATGGCAAAAAATCAGGAGAAAATGGTGAAAATCCATTGGTTTCATGTCTTGTGCAGTTATGAGCATATATAAGCCTGTTTAAGAATCTTTCTAGTACGATTTCCTTACCTCTGAGAGGGTCCTTAACATAGAGGGTAAGGAACAGTTCATACGTTCTATCTGACCATTAGGTGGTTTGGAGTAGTTCACGAGCTAGCAACTCCACTTATGCATTGGAGGTGGTGGAACAATTTGTTCTCAAACTCGCCACCTGGGTCATGATGTATGTGTGCTGAATCTTGGAATGAACTCATTGTAAATCTTCTCAGCACCAGTGTGGGCCATCTTGTTGTTGCATAGGCCTGGGCATATTTGGTAAGGTGATCAACAATCAGTAGTATATATTCATATCCACCTTTACTCATATCCAAGTGCAGGAAATCAATGGAAACCAGTTCAAAGGGTGCTGATGACATAAAATGCATCATGGGTGCTATGGTGACTGTATTTGGTTTCTTCATGTGCAATGTTGTGTCATGAAATACTCTATGTCACGGTTGTTCATATGATACCAGTAAAAGCAGGACCTTGTAAGATCTGCTACCTGCTCCACTCTGAGGTGTCCCATCTCTGTGTGTAGTTCTTTAAGTGCAACTGGAATGAAGATGCGTGGCAGAACTAATTGCAACATAGAATTTGTTCTTTGTTGCAGAATACCATGGTCCTCAACTTACAGCTTCTTCCATCCTCTTATAAGGTTGGTAACACCATGGAGTTCATCCTGCAGTTGGCTGCCACTTGGGTTAATCCCATGTGTCTTGTAGTAAAGTACATGGTCTATGGCACTAACTTACTCCTGTGCCTCCCTGATTACCTTAGGGCTGAAAGGTTTTAGATTCAGGTCCTTTAATGTGGGTTCAGGTGTTGTCATGTCAGTGGCAATTGTTGTATCTCATGGGATTGTGACCTTTGCCTGCTCCCTTACTGCATCCAGGGTTGCTGCAAGGACATCTTTAAGTACTTCCTCAGAACAACCTTTCATATATTTGTCCATGCCTAATGGAATTCTGGACAGAATGTCTACATCAACATAGGTCTTGCCAGGTTATTATCAGTGAAGACGATGAAAGATGGGGCACAGAATAAGTAATCTCTGCTGGCGTCAATGTCCTGGAGCCATAGCCAACAACTCTCTATTTGCCCCCTTGTTTTTGGTAGATCACTGCTCCAAGTCCTTCACTTGAAACATTCATGTGTAGCACAAACGGTCGTTCAAACTCAGGGTAAGCCATTACCCCAGGCTGCATTTGAAGTTTGATTAGAAAGTCTAGTCATTCTTGATGGCTTTCCATTCCCCTTAGGATGCTCCTTTCCTTCTTTGCATTTGTTGGATTAGTTACTACATTCTTTGGCTGAAGGCAATTCATAAAGAG